CAATAAAATGGGAGCTTTTTTATAACTTGCAGCTCGTAGAACTGCGTAGATACGTTGAGTACAACTAAATAATACAAGATAGTAAAGAATTGTGAGTACTCAATGGTATAAAACGGGAGCTTTTTTTATAACTTCCAACTCGTAGAACTGCGCAAACCGCAAGAAGTTAATTTTGCATTCCGCAATTGCAGTGAAGAGTATATGCAACGAGAAACAACTCATTTCAAAGGATTCCAAGGGAGTTACGTACCAGTTTCATGAGTTACATCGAAAATTACATGTGTTATCAATTCGTTTAAGGTCCAAAACTATTTTACATTATTTAAATGTATTTATTCTGGAGGGAAAGAAGAGAATTTCCAATTTGCTCAGTTCTATAAAAATTGCTAAATTTTAATAAAACAAAAGATAGTTTGTGAATTATATATAATAGACAGTAATTCATCAAATTACAAATCAATTCTCAGTTTACAAAATAATTCTTATTGAACACGTTGAGTTATCGCATGCAAGATAATTCTTGTTGATAAAATACATTTTTTGTCCCATTTATGACTAATATCAATCACTGTTCATCACATTATACTACTGAATTTCCATTCCATTCACGAAATCGATTCATTTACAACGCGAGGACACCCAGAAACTATTTACCACTCATTTGTTTCCGCTAGGATCAACTTGAAGCTGGAGACTTCGATGCCAAATCCTATTCGAAACAATTTTTCTAATAAAATATGGCGAATCAATTCTGAGCCACTTGACGTATCCAAGATTCTCGTTTTTAACTAATCCTATTGAAACGAAGAACGTCCACCAGTGATTTGATGTTTTTACGAAGAAGACTTGGTTTGACGTTTTTTCAATTTCTGCGTGCATTGCGAAATCCCGAAGGTCTCATCTACATGCGATCGATGATTGATACGCGGTCAAGCAAAATGCCAGAACAGCAATAATTATATACAGACATGTCAATACCTGAAGATGATAAATTCATCTCGTTTGACACATATGCGACACACGACCTTTCTTTCAATTCTCTTGTTCCGACCCCGCTTTTCCTCTATTATAATACTTCTTCGTACAACGGAAGCGTCAACATATATTTCTTTGTAACATCGCGTTATCGCATGCAAAACTAACGGCATCTGCGATCAATTATCGCTACTCTGCCCGTAGAATTTTTATTAGAGATCGTTAATCACACCTTGTGACGTGTCTTCGATTTCTTTGCCGCCATTTGTACGTACTTTAACGAGAAGCCTTTTTTTTTACCGCCTCGTTGACGTGACTCGCGAACTTTAAAAAGATTGATAGCACACGAATTTATCGTAGATAATTATTGTGTAATAATAGTAGTTGTCAACTCGTCTAATAACAAACGTGTGTACAACATCTTATCAATGAACCATTTTGCAATTCGTTTACTGGGACAATAGGCAATGAGTACACTGCGAATTTTTACGTATTTATAAAAGCCATAATTGGGTTC